TAGTCATATTTTTCTGTGGACAGGTGTTGGAGTTTGTCAGTGTGGAGGTTTGAAGGTGATTACCGGTTCTGGTTTCTCGACAGTTTCCTGTCGGTCTTTTGGTTTTAACCATCTGGACGTGGTCCGACCTCCTTCTGACTTAGACGTTCCATTCGTCGAACCACACTTCTTTAGTTGACACCCTCGTTAAATAATCTTTTACTTCTTATGTTCTGGTGACTATTAGAGGGACGGTAGACCCCGAGGTGCGTTCTAGAGTTGGGCACCCCAAGTTTTATAGTGTCTTGCCACTCGTTTTTAGGGTCTTGGTGTGCCAGCCCCCCTGGGATCAGCTTACTGGACGTCTCTCGACCCTGGTTTCAATTGTTTCCGATGGTAGTCATTGTGTGATGCGGCGGTCCCTGAGTTTAGGGACGTCACGGTCTGCACAGGGGGACGAATTCGGTCATGTACAGGTCCGGGCAGACTTTCAACGATCTCTCGTAAATCTACTAGGTCTTCGTCCCTAACCCTCTTACGCAGTATACCAGCTACTCTTGGTTTTATCTTGAAAACCATTTTTGACGTTGATCTAACAACCTCCTCTTTCTTACGACTCTCAACGTAGGTTTCTTGTGGTATGGGATGACACTTTGTACCCCCTGCTTGTAGTACGAAACCCCGACAAAAAAGACGTTACCCTGGTCCTTGCTGACTAGGCACATTTTCCTTTCTTACTTACCCGGTACATACGCACTCTAAAACTCAACATTTTGGAGAAGGTAGTCGTTCCCGTACTTCTACTTTGTAACCGACCCAGAAAGTCGTAATGTACTAGGGTTTGTTGGCGGGCCCGTTGCTTCCTCACCGAAGCATTTCTTCAAAAAGTTCACAGACCTCACCGGATCGTCAGAGGGTCTAGAGTTGGGGTATCTTTTTAGAAATCTCCCTCAACTTTTCAGGCACAACCGGGGTGGCTTCGGGTTTTTGTACCGAAGATCTCCTTCTAGAACCGTACTCCCTTACCCGGGCTTTATGGTCGTTGTCACCACACCACTTTTGGACACCCACTTCTGAATGTCTTTGGGAAACTGGAGACAGGTAACGGTTGGTTTCCCCATTATGTTTTCATAACCTCTAATTGAAAAACGAAGATAAGCCTGGTTTATGAATAAAAGGTAAAGTATTAAAACGTTATTTCAGAAATTTTTAGTCTGTCACTAAAAGACTCTATAAAACAAAAAAGAGAGTAAAACAGAGAGTATCACTCCATATGATCCCTACTTTAATGTCGAGAGTAGAAAAAATTCACCCTCTTTGAACGGTGTTAACCACCGACCTCTTGATTCTATGAAAAAAACGGGGGTGACATTATGGATAAAATGATAGTTCCGGTGTTACGTTTGTAAGAGTCCCAAGTCGAATAGTAAATAAAATTTTATTCCACTAATTAGCAAGCAGTCAAATTTTTACAGTCCGTTTTATTGGTATTTTTCCCCTGCTTCACTGCAGACCCAAAACAGACCTGGTTATCAGGTTTTGGATTTTTACTATCTTATGTTTCCGACCATGATTTTGTTATAGTAATTTTCCGTTGCAATTTGGGCAATTTTGTTAAGAAACTGGCGTACAACCATTTTACCTAATTGTTTAGTTGATTATCTGCAATAGCAAATTTGGAGATCGTGTTCCATGACTTCAAACCGGTGCCATTAATACAGTTAACAAGTGGAGGACAGAGGAGGCTCTTAAAGAAGAAGTTACAGGTCTGTGAGAGCCAGAAATCTTGTTTGTTTGTAGGTGACCAAATACTTATTTTCCACCATCATTTGCAAATAAATTATTTAAAAATCAGACAATGTGATTTTCTGGATTTTTTTTTTTTCATTTGGTCTCTCATAGTTGAGGTATACCTCTCTCATCTTTTTAAGTGGGAGAACTTGCACAATTGGTGGCTGACTAAATACTTTTTTCACCCACTGTATATATACATATATATATATATGTATGTATTATCAAGCCATTATCAATGCCAAACATTCTATATATATATATCAATATATATAATAAAGCATTTGACACATAAAAAGTCATTTGAACTGATGTATTTTAAGATGCCGTACAACCCACAAACCTTTGTGTCTGCATCCTTTATATTCCTAAATTCTCCGCTCCTCACCGGTATGTGTAATGTGAGATTTGAGATGACCCTCATGCCAGCTGCTTCTCGTTCTCCAGTGATGATCCACTCGTGAGGAAGCAACATAATATTTGTTTCTAATAGAGACGCCCCCTATGTCCAATCCGTAATTGGCACGCTTTCTCCACTTCAAAGACGTCTGAAGGTGGGAACCGGCACAGGCTGATGAGTGAGGCTCTCGGTCTGGGTGTGGGCTGGACAGTGGGGGGTTAAGGGTGATGTGTTTGGGCTTTCACCACATGCTGACTCAACATGATTCAGCTCAGCTGACCTTGTGACCCCTACTGGCTGCAGAGAGGCAGTTTTGGCACACGGGTGTTCGTGCTAAGATAGGCGGCACTGTACTTGTGTCAATAAGTCCGCCGTGACCCAAAACAAAGTGGCAGTGACGCTACAAATGTTTTGTCTGAGCTGGCCATGCATAGACTTCCTCTATTTGTTTATGTGTTTGTCTGTTTGGTGACTGTACTAACAGGAACACACTAACCGTACCTCCGTTTGGATTTGTAAAACCTAACAGGTCTTACAAATAGGACCACCAGTACCAATGTGTTTAGAAAATGTATACCCTGAACCTGGGCTCATCTTGTAGGATTAAAGGATTTATTAGGACTATTTATATCGATCAATCTGTAGATTATATTTCAACTAATTGATTATTTGGTTTGTCAATGAAAGTTCAGAAAACTGTGAAAGACATAGAATCCTCTATAGTGACATTTGTTTAATGTCTGTCCGACCAAGAGTCAAACGCCCAGAGATATTCAGTTTCCAGAGATATTAAAGAAACAAATCCTCACATTTGAGAAGCTGGACCCAGAGAATGTTTGGTGTTTAATGTCCGCCTCACACAATCTGGCTTCTCCATTTTATTGGAGAATTAATCATAATTAAGCTAGGATTATTGCAAGAACAGATGTGAATTTCCTTTTTGCGGTTTATTTTAGATTTGAAATTATCCTTTTTTTCTAAATAGTCACCAAGGAAGTATCGGGTGATTGAGAGAGAAAGAGACGGGACTGTTCACTCCTCTAAGTGAATGTACAGTAGTGTGTTCAGAAGACAAGGTCCTTACACTCACCTCATTTACGGTTTGTCAAACCCCAAGACACCCCCCAGTATCCCAGTATGAACCGCTTTCCATCCTCCGCATGCAATCGATATTTTCATTAAAATTGACTGGTTAAAAAACATCATGTGAATTCGTTAACCTTTTTCTCAAACATAAATCCAAAAGTGATGTCTGGTTTTTCATTTTTGAGGGATATCTTCTGACCACCTTTCAGCTGCAGAACATATGGACACTCGCCTGCAGATCCTCTGAATCGGCCAAGATGTAAATCATTTAGATGTTGGAGGCTGGAACACAGTTTGGTAAAGTGTAAAACGGAAACAGTTTTACCGGAAGCTTGCCGCCAGTGTTTTTGCTCATTGACAGTTTTTCCTGGTCTGAGAAAGAGCCAATCAGAGTTGATAGGAAGGGTTTAGAATTGAGACGGTTGTATGCATGTTCTGAGGCCTGTCATAATACTCTTATCAGTCTACTGTAGAAGATTTTGGACATGACATTCATAATTTCTGCTCACCTCGATATCGCCCATTGTGCCTTAATGCAGGTTTCTTTGTATATGAACGTCGCCAACATTTCAGCCATCACGATGGCAGAACAAATGGCGGCGTTTTCCCTGACGTTATACGACCAGTGCGGTGCCGAAGACTTTCTTTCTTTAGGCCTTTAGGCTTAATAAACAAAAAAGAAAACAGGAATATGCTGAGACACAATGCTCTATATTACCAATTAAAAAAATGTGGATAGGACGCAGTGATGTAACTGCTAGCTTTGAATATCAGCACAGTTACTTCACAGTATAGATGTGCTCCCGTGGGACTGGCAATTGGCAGTTTCATATATAGGTAATATTGTGTAATTAGAAAAAGCTTCCTAACCTTTGCAAACTAGCTCAGCTTTATATTGACTGTTACAGACAGGATCCTATACGCCTGTGCCAATCACATTTATTTTTAAACTAAGGTATAAATCTTTGTTCGCTGAGATTGTTTTTGTAAAATAACAAATAAAATGGACTCCTTTAAATGAAGGGAGTAATAACAAGATGGTCATAATGTTTCATTCACATTTATCTTAATACACTTTGTAAAATAGTTTTTACTTTGAGGCAACTCTTTAAACTATGTTTAAACGTTTAACTTTTTGATATCTCGTTATTTCTTCAGTTGTCTCCACTCATCGAGGACTTTGAATGTTGTTTACAGGGAAATCCTCCGTCGCAGGTCTCTGTTGGAGCATTAGGGCGACCAGCTCTCAGCATTCTGGTTGGCCAGCGGCCCCACAGCGACAAGCCCCTATGCTCTTTATTTGGCACGTAGCCTGGAGGTGTCAGGAATATCGACACGCTTTCACGTGACGGAGACTTTGCCAGCCTTTTTCCCCCCTTTCTTAAGCCCGGCATTCTGCCTGCCCAGCCAGGTATTGTAGGGCCCCGTGAAGGCCCTGTGAATAGTGTCAAACTTGATAGTTCTCATTTTGCTTCCTGTACATGGCAGAAGAAAAAGTGCCCACCGTGTGGGTTTTCCTTTTGTGATGGCCCTCTCTAGTCTTCCTGGGAACACACCACATTCCAGCCACAATCATTCCCTTTGTGAATCCGGGTATTGTGGGTGAGTCTGTTATGCCGATAACCCTGCTAGCTTTCAGTGTAATGCATGCAAATATCATAGAAGTCTAGACTCGTATTTTTGCAAACAATGCCAGATAATGAGCAGAGTGTTTTCAGTGATATGGCCGAGCTTTTGTTTTGACACATCCTCAGTCATTCATGAAAGACCTTTTGTGCTCATCCACGCCTAAGATGTGATTTAAGGTCTGCTACATCTGGACAAATTATTGCGCCAATTTACCATACATGGGCCTCATGTGTCAGTTATGGTTTATGTAACGTATATACGCGTAACCATAGTCTGGCCTGCTAATCCCAAGGGCATCATTTCTAATGCGTCTCGGAGAGGGATTTTCATGCATCTATCCCCCAGAACACCCCACACCACAGAGCTGCTAAATGTTTCTGCAAATTTGATTTACCTCGACTCAAAAGGTACTTTTTGTACATGAATTCTTTCCCCCTCAATTCACAACTCCAAGTGTGTTATGGTTCACTGTGTACAAAGTATTTGAATGGTTCTTGTCTTCACTCCAAAACGCTCAGGGAGTTCTTCTTACATCACGAGTGCAGATCTTTTGAACATTGTCAATTAAAAGTAACGACTTGTATCCTGCCGAATGCAATGTGTTAAAAACATTTTTGATCACCTGCTGCAGACTGGAGAAAACCCTCTCCCACTGTCCTGTGTGTTATTGTGTCATGAACCCTCCACCGTTACCCCCTTTGGGTGAAGGGAACATGTTTTCCTCCTCTCTGACAAGAAGGAATTGTTAAGGTTAAGTAGATAGGGCAGCCGGAAATAATTACCAACCACTTGTGAAGTTTTTTCCCCCCTCCTCTTTGTTCATCTTTTCCCTTTCATTTTTAACAATCTTTTCAATGTGCAGATCTTGTTTATGATTAGGTGCAGCCTGGTCTTGCCTCTGAGCATGGCAAAAGATGTTTGGCTGAAACGAGCAGTAGCCGTCGGATCTGTAATTTACTAGGCTTAAATACCTTTGGAAGCTCCTTTCCCAAAGGAAAGGCGGGCTTTTGTGTGAAGTTCATGCAAAACGACCTCCTTTCTACAAATCAACTGGCAGATGACAGACAATGATGAAAATTTGATTCTTTGAAGTTGTAATGGCCATTGAAATGTGCAAAATTCTTGTATTGAAAGGAGAGCGCCCTGGAAAGCCCTCAGTCTTGGGTGGCTGGCGCTACGTGCTGGGAGGTTCGTCTGTGTTTTGTCGCCGACTTCCCATTGCTTGTTTGCTAATTCCCTGAAGAATTGGACCAGATCCTTGATAGGAGCTTGAAGGGGCTCCAGTTGCTCAGGAATATGCATTTAGTACGCCCAGAGGCCCCTCCTCCTGCTCTTGTTGCGCTGGCCTACTTTCTGATGGTCTGGAATAAATCACCTCAAGTATTAGGCATTCATTTCCGCCACCTCGGTGCCAAACAGCGTAAAGATGGCTGTTATTATATTTTTCTTTTGAATCCAGTATTTACCTTTTCACATATGTAAGCTATAGTGTATATACTCGTTTTATTTCAGTTATACTGACATTTACACACTATTAAAGTCTCACAAACACTATTGTGAATGACTGAACTGTTCCCTTAGCGCATTGAACACTCTTAGACATCTACAAGTAACATATCAAACATTTTAAAACCAGAGCAAAAGGTTAAAGCAAAGGAGAGATTTATATAGCAACAGTTACCTATAAATAGCGTTCATTCCTTGGATTTTTCCTGTTTTATTATTTTTCTGAAATTAATCCCTACAGATTGATGAGAAGTACAAAAATAGGAAATATAGGAGTACCTTTTATATAACAACTGAAATTGTTCCTAACACCATAATTCTGACGGTAAACACACATTGTCAGAACTTAGTTGTATTTAATAACACCTGCAAGCCTGCCTTCAGATGACCTTTCTCAACCATCAGTTGCACATTTATCCTTGCATGAACACCTGTTCCTAAAATAAATAAACATCAGTCACAGTGTGTTTTTGTAGGAACGGTCACATGGAAGCTTTGTCTTCCTTTGGATGTTGTTTTGACTGCTTGTTTTGCATCTTAAAAAGGCTTGTACAGATGAATAATAAATAAATCATGTACTCAAACCTATTTTTATTAGTAAAAACTATTCATTATTTGTTCTTGACTGGCTAATAGATCACATAGTTTTCATTCAGTTGTTTGCCTGCATGTCAGCTGGTTGGTAACATGGGATTGCGATCAAATGAGGTCACACTTATTTTTTAGGAACTGATACGTATATGGGGGTAAGGGTATCTACAGTGTTTATAGAAGGTTATCATTTGAATTCCTGGTGTTCTCCATTGTGACATCCGCTCTGACTCACAGCTGGATGTGCTTTGTTTCCGTCCCTTCAGGACATCACCACCCTGACAGGGGTCCCGGAGGAGCACATCAAAACACGGAAGGTTCACATCTTTGTTCCCGCCAAAACAGCCATGCAGTCGGGAAGCCACAACACAACGTGGAAGCTGGACTTTGACACCAGGGAGCGCTGGGAGAACCCTCTGATGGGCTGGTCCTCAACGTAAGGATCTCAGAAAAATCAAGGGGTTTTACAATCTGCAGGACATAAGAAACCCCCTCACATAAAGAATGTTCTATATGTGCCTCTGACCAGGTGACCTCTTGTGTCTGACATCTCGCTTTGCCTTTCAGTGCGGATCCCTTATCCAACATGATGCTCAGCTTCTCCTCCAAGGAAGATGCCATCGCTTTCGCTGAGAAAAATGGTAAAACATTTAAGATGTGTCAAGATTACATTTAACATTTAAACCTTTACATTTAAATCACACCTTGTATAACACAACATTAATACAATGTCACGGCTAATCATGGAAAATCAGTTCAGTTTATAAATTGCATTACAGAGTTATGATACACACAAATATGGAGTTTTGCCAAAACGTAATCAGTGAAAGTCAAATAAACACGAGATAATATATCTTATTAGTCATATTAGTAGTACTATTAGGAGTGGTATTAAGTTACTGTTCTGGGTAGAGGAATTGTAAAGCTGATAGAAGTAAAGTGTTGTGCGTTGACTTCACCAGAGAGAGTGCAGGAGTAACTCGATTGAATGTGGATCAATGTGCACTTCAATCTGAAACTGTCCGTTACAGCATCTTGCATAATGCTAAGCATCTCTGCACTTATCAGGGGCCGTCATACCTTAAGGATAATGGCAATATCATTTTTTAAATAAAAAATGTCACGGCTTATTAAACCTTACAAACCCGGACTGTAATCAGGTGATGATTATACCAGTACAACAGCACCTTAAAATACCTCTGATGTCAACCTTTGGGCCTCAAAAGAAAAAAGGAATGAAACTTTAGACGGACAAACAAGATGATCCTGAGTTAGTTTAGGTTAACGCACATGATGAGGTTTCCTGTCCGGTAACACAGGAAAGAAAGTTCACTTTGACTCAGAACCGAACCATCTGGGAGAGTTTGTTGAAACTGAGCAAAGGGAACTGGCGTACTCTGTTTATTGCACCATGAAAGTGATTAGTGCACTTCTGACTACACACAGCCTGTTGATGTCTACAAAACACCTCATTGTGTTTGGAATTCATCCAAAGGGAACATACGTGACGCTCGCGCCCCCATCACTTACTCTGATGTTGTTGCTTCAGGTTGGAGCTACGACGTAACGGAGAAGAGGAGCGCAAAGCCCCGAGTGAAGTCCTACGGAGCCAACTTCTCCTGGGACAAGAGGACCCGGAGGTCCGGCAAGTAAACTGAAGACGCCCATCTGTTTTCGGCGTGACCCCCGAGTGTCCCGCAGCAGACCTGTATCATTCTTGTCAATAAAAGCCTAATTATATGTGTGTGAACCAAACATTGTGGTCTTTATCGCTTTATTCTTCAAACATTCACCTCATTACCGACTACCTTACGCAGTCTCCCCGATTAATGAAGTGTTTGTTCTGAGTCGAGTTGTGCAACAGCAGAACAAAGGGGAACATATTATTACAATTAGAACCTGTTTAAACACAGGGATAAATAGAAGTGGGGGCCAAAAGCAATGACATTTTTCCTGCGTGAGTGATTGTTTCCACCCCGATACCTGAATTGTTTCAGTGTTCGGAGAGATGCATAACTGGAATTTAAAGAGGGACTTGGAACAGTTTACTCTGGAATAGAAAGCAAAAACTTTTTTTTTTGTACATTAACATCTGGGCTTTGAAGTTAGCATCTTATATAACCATTACTAGCATTTTGATGAGACCAGTGACATGTGATTTAGATGTATCTGGTATAATTTGAGTGGAACAACAAATACTTCAATTATATTGCTTGTTATTTTTTTTGTAACTATCTGTTCATGGTTGGTCTACATTACATGTCATAAAATAGTAACAAATAAAAAAGGTTAATAAAAGAACTCAAAATGTGTTGTTTCCCAACAGAGCAAGCCATAAAAATAAAGTTTACGTAACACATTCAAAAAACAAATCGTCACAAGTTAGGACTACCAAGAAAGGTTTGGTATTCAGCTTAGTAAATACGTTAATAAATTATTTTTGAGATATTTCCCAATTAATTTCGAACTTGTATTGACAAGCTGTGTTGGTGTGATAAGATAAAAAGGTTAACCATTTTCCAATCAGAAACGCCACATAATATATCTTCTATATAAACCATTACCGATTCATATTATTTGTTCAATAAAAAGCCTTTTTCAAATATTTGTATTAAACCTGCATTCACTTGTATTAAACCTGCATTCAGTGAAAGTTCATGGGATTTAGTTTAGCCTTGTTGAATATTTGCCTCAAACACCATGTTTCAATAATCAAATATTAAACTAAGATTCTCTACCTATTGAGATAAAGTTGAAATCTTTGAAATATAAAAATCCATATTGTGTTCTGCTCAGCCTCGCTCGGCAGTGCCAGCGCTTGTTGACGCTCTTTGTGTTCCGTAAACAGTGGCGTTTCTCTGCGCCCAGTCCCAAACTGCGTGACTGCACTGATATTCACACAGCAATCATGGGCGCCTAATTGGTTTAGCCCTGCGTTAATTAATGCACTGCATTGCACATCTTTCACAGACTTGCGCTCGCTATTTATTTTTGTTCTGTCACTCGGGACATCAGACGCACCGATCTGATATGAGTGTAATGGTCCATCTGAAAGGCAGGACATGAATGACAGCATGTGTTGCCATTCCCTTTGAAATCCCCTTGGAGAAAAGCAGCGGGGAAAAAACGCTCTTGGCACAACTTTGTATCATAAAAGTTGAAAGCATTCCGCCCGTCTTGGGCCATAAGCACCGTAATGTAGGCTATGTGAGATGAGAGCGGCGCGGTGGCATTGTTCAAACCATCAGGACAACGCAACCGTCAGCGAAACAAACATCGGCCTGAAGTGTTAAACGCAATAGGCTGCTAATGGTTTGATAGCCTGGCCATACAAACAAGTGAGTTCAGTATCATCACACGTTAAGGGGTTTATGTGAATCACCCAACAATTGCATCATAGTGATCATACAGATAGTTGTGATCTATTTTACTATTTTTATTTGCTCACATTGAACAATCTTAAACTGTGACATCTTATTCCAAAATCAAAGTTATATTGGATCATCCACATTGAAGTCCTTGCTAAGTGAAGTTTTAGATACAAATAATAATATTTCAATTGAAAACTTCCACTAGTTTCACCTGTGCAACGTCAAACAGGAAAAGCTACATGAATCCTACAAAGACGCTCAGGAGGATGACCGACATGAGACTCATTTGAGAGTATAACCAAGTCCCGATCAAATTAGATTAAGGTTTCAACCGTGATACACCAAATCAGTCGTGTAAAGCCTACCTTGGTATAGCTTTACACAAGTAGGCTACTGTACTTAAAGGTAGGTAATTCACTTCAGAAACACTTTTTGTTATATTCCATGGCATGCTCTTAATATCCCGATAGCAATGAATATTAAATGCTTTGACAATAAATACATTAAAAAAAAAATCATCTGTGGAAGCCGTGGTGCTGCTAAAATAATTGGATGGCCTACCTGCCTGTCAGCCTTCCATCTCGTGCACAAATTTATCTCGTGCCCTCATTGGTCATGTGTGTTGGAGGAGGGGCTCTGTAAGGAAGTCTGAAGGAAGGGGCAGATTCTTTCGGCTGCGTAGTTTCAAATTCGAGCGCGCTCGAGCTGGTTTCTCCATTCTTACCTACCCTACCTTTAAGTACAATATTGTAATACTTGTACTTTACTTGAGTATTTGCAATTTCTTCTAGTGCTTCTGCTCGATTACAATTATTTTTTACCTTTGGTTAATTTGCAGATTTGGATTAAAGATGTGAAATATAATCAACACAACATAAAACATTAGTTACTACCCTGCAGTATACAAAGTCATTAAAACAGCTGCACGTTTAGCTTTGATAACACTTTAATGCATCAATTATTAAACATATATTATATATTATTCTGAAATTGATCAATCTGAATAATTAGTACTTTTAATTTTGGTACTTTAAGTATATTTTGATGCTAATACTTTTGTACTTTTACTTGAGTGAAAAAAACAAAACAATGACATGACTTTTACTTGTAAGAGAGTTTTTCTACACTCTGGTACTTCAACTTTTAATCAAGTACAATATCTGAGTAGCTACTTCTCCCACCTCTGCACAACATGTACTTTCCCTCCTCCAGCTAAATTGTCAGCGCCATAACTAAAACCTATATTGTCAATTTCAGAATCCCATTGGTGTTTGTGGGGTCAAAGTTCAACTTTTTGCCACACTTGTTAGAATCAAAGCCACTTTGGCTTTTACTTCTGCTGTTTAAATTGGAAAAAAATTGATTCAGCTCTGGGTGTGAAAGCACTGTAACCTGGACAGTGACTTGGAATAGAGATTTAAAAATATGAAAATACAAGATTAAACTAAATCCCATTAACTTTCACTGAATGCAGGTGGAAATTGTAAGTATCCTGCAAGATAATCAATGTGTTGAACAGGACAGAAGAGGACAGCATGTTAGATTTACACAAGGCCCATAGATTGTCTATTTGCTGAGTAATAATTATTATTAAGTAATAATTGGCCCCCCAGTTGATATAATAAAAGCAGTGTGTATGCTGGAGCAAACCACAATATGTGTTACACTTCATTCATCATCATAAATCATGCAGTTACATTTTGTAGTGCTGACAGGAAAATGTGGCTCACAGACGCTAAAGGTTATAATGTTTTTTGCAAGTATTCTCTTAAATTAAAAGAGTAAAAAACAGACATTGAGTAAAGCAATTCCAGGAAGACTTCTGTGTTTACAAATCTTTTTTTCAATTGGGGAAGAAGTTTTAATCTGCCATGAGTTGTTGTTTCAGTGCTATAGAGTTCAGCCTCCAGTCATTAAAAAAAATACTCTGTTGGAAAGCGCACAGAACATCATCGAGCTGTGCGTCCTGCTTTGACTCAGCAGCTGGACACAAGACCTGATGTTAATGTTTTAGTCTGAACGCGTGGCTCTCAACAACACACACACCTTCACACACGCACACCGTGGCCCACCATGACCTGACCACTGCTGTCTGAGGCAACTCACACTGAACTCTCCAACCCAGCCATGAGGCACGCAACCCTGCTCGTCTGCAGCCAAATACTTGCTCCCTGTGTGTGTGTGTGTGTGTGTGTGTGTGTGTGTGTGTGTGTGTGTGTGTGTGTGTGTGTGTGTGTGTGTGTGTGTGTGTGTGTGTGTGTGTGTGTTCGTTCAGCACACTGTGGGACCTGCTTGTTTTGAAGGGCACAGTCTCAGATTGATGATGACTTCTAGCTATCCAAACAAAAGCTCATAGCAAGCAATGCTGAAAAGAACCTGTTTACCTAAAGTGTACTGTTTATTATTCTTGCATCATTTATTACCCTCCGTACAGTGAGACAACAACAACAACAGTTATGTAGTTTCATGTAAGGGTTTTATTATAAACCCTTACATTTGTCATATTCGTGTACTGAAGTTTCCTAAAAGGAATATCTCAGAAGGTTCTCTGAATTCATTCAATATGATCAGTTAAAGTACACATTTTCTTACTATCACGTTTTTTGCCACACTGTTAGCATCATGGTACCCTCTTACCTGAATATCTGTGTGCCAGGCCTTCACCAGCAACACATCAAAGGACCAATTTATGGCTTTTTGCACGATTTTCAATGTGATGATGATGCTAATTTAATAGATAAGCCAAAGACAGACACTACTGTCTGATTATTTTAAGCCTATCTAAGCAGATTATAAATAGATTTGACCAGAAACGACACATTTAATATCGAAAAGTGCTAAACATTAACCTCAATAGGGACATAGTTTTTTAAAGAGATACGTTTTTTTTTTCAAATAGTCTTTTGATGGTGCAGAAACAGCAAACATAATGTATGAACCTCTGCTGTGTTGGAGTGATGGTAGAAATATTGCATCAGGTCTTCTCATGAACTTTATTGACAGAGAGAGAAATATAAATTTCCAACAGACATATCCTTAAAAGCAGATGTATTCCTACAGATTTAAGGTTCCAGCCATGTCTCACCAAACTATGGCAGAAAGTATTTGACGCATGCTGCTGGATTTCAGCATGGCTCTCTTCAAAGGATCACTGTTAGAAGGCGCGACGTCCCCCTCTGCTTCTCAGGTCTCAGGCAGAAGAAAGGTTGGGGTTAGGAAGGCCCTCTCCTGGGACTGAAGGCATCCACAGCAAAACACACCCATGTTCCGCTATTTATCAATCGCTGTATTCATCTTTTTTGTTTTCCCATTCACACTCCTATCAGGTTGGACATGACACCTCATCCACCCATAGGTCAGGATAACCCCCACCACACAAACACACCATAGAGATGTCCTCCTGAAAGAGATCAAAGATGATATTGGTCAGCAGAGAAGACAAAAGGGTTAGCCGTGGTGGAGCGCTCAGTTAGCGTGCTGATCCCTGGATGTCTATTTTAGCAGCCCTCTGACGTTTGAGATAAATTCCACTGCTGAATGTTAACATCTTGTTAATGGCTGGAACAGACCGGGGAAATGTCTCCACAGCCCTCGACAGACAGGTTAAATGTAGTTTTCTCTGGCATAAATCACTTTAAAGCAGAATTCTTAGTGTGATTTCTGCCTCACATGTCTTTGTGGAGGCCTTTGGGTCGATTAGGAATTGAACTTATGTCCACACTAATCTCCTTGTTGCCAAATTATAGGCAAGTTTTCCAAAAATGCCTGGAAAAGTAATTCATTTTGCCAGTGTTTGAAGTTGTCTGGCACATGGCGGGTGACGATGAATTGTCCCCCAAAGAGTTAATTGATGGAGAGGAGAAAACCTTCAGGGAGGGAAACGTTCCGTGTTTTACCTCCCTGTCCTGTTTGAAGGAGATGTGAGTTGGCAGTGCAGGAGAGGCTTGAAGATTAATGTTGCAAAAGGGGGCTCTGACAGCCTCTCCGCTGGTTGCGGTTCTCTTGGGTGGCCCGATTGGTCTTGGATGTCACTTGTGCTACTTAATCTTGTGTATGTGAACCAGGCAGATTCAGAGGGGTTTGGAGAGGGGTGAGGGGGGATGGGGGGAGGTTTGTTCGCAGAGCAGCAACACGAGAGACAGAACTTTCTGAAACGAGAAAAAACAACAAAAGTATTACATTCATTTGGGAATTTTGAATGTTTGTTGTGTATGTTTTTTTCACATTGTTAACACATTTTAGTTTGTTATTGACTGTTTCAAGTATGAATCCATTATATGAGTTATCAAATAACCTGTGAATATTTATGTAACTAAATTATTCCAAGAAAACGTTTGAATCTACTAAAACAAATCATCCAATCAACACATATTCAGATGCATAAAAGAAAAATACTCCTCAGGTAAACGTATTTTAGCATAATTAGCAACATGTACTTCAAAACTACTCATAATGTATTATAATGCCCCCTTGAGTTATGTATGATATTAGTGTATAACTATTACTGATACATTGCAATATTCTACTGTAGTAGGTGGAGCTAATTTACAGTTATTTTAGTTATTTTACATTCAATAGTATTTTTATCCAATTGTATTGCAATATTAGGGTATTGTTGACTAAATAGGTAAAAACAAATGCAAATGCAAAGATGTGCAACAGTTGGGATAAGGTAATTAAGTATCAGTGTATAAAATATAATTTCTATAACTTCTGTATCTGGAGACATCATCTAAATGCGTGGGATGAGATGATTTCTCTCAACCTTAAGGCTGCTTAAAGGGGAAATTAAAGGCCCTTAACTCTTGTTTTCTCACTCAACAAGTGGGCAGGATTAAGATGGTAACTGGTAAAATAAATGCCAGCAATTTAGATTTAGCAATAAATGTAATTCTGATGACATTTGGTGGCCAATGTTTATCAGGTCTGATTAAACCCCACAGAGTCCTGATGATGCATGGCTGATAAACACTTACTAAAAGGTACTTGACTAAAAGGTACCTGAATATGTTTTATTAACTTTGATTGGTGCATATGTACAGATTAATAGAGGTAATTTAAGACGATATTTAAGATTTAAATAAACAATCAGAATTTTAGGAGATGAAAATGTATTTTATTCTGAACATATTTCTATGGGATTGGATTGAAATAACACATTGAAAACCAACAAAGTGTATTTTTAGGCTTACATTAAACATTTACATAACATATTGCATTCTTCCAAGTTTCTCCTATTGGCTAATCACAAAAGAGGACGTTTTGGCTCAGAAGGAGCACCATGTGAGACCAGAACACGGGACTGGAGACCATTCATAACTCGGAAATTGACCAAAAAACATTTAATAACCAAACGTGGAGAGTGTTTATTTTTATAAATGTGCTTTTAAGTGTGGGGTTTATTCTGCTCTGCAATTCATCTTTGCATTGAGTTAAAATAAATGTTTCAGATTCATTAATTGTCTTATATCCTCAACCCTAACAAAAAGCAGCTATTCCAGATTGTTTGCACATTTACTCATTAAGAGTAGGCAGGGCCAGGTTTGCCAACATTAAATGTTGAACACACTGCGTTACACTGTGACTGTAAACGTATAGAAAGACTCTAGCTGCCAATTGTTCAACGAGCTCCTTGCAGCTGACCCCTCTAAGCCAATCTAAACTGGTCTCTGACTTGACCTTTCTGACATTCAACCCTAATCCTCAACACCTTAAACACTATTTCTGGCTTCAGCTCTAAGCTTATTCCCACTATCTAACCCGAGTGTGTGTTTGCAGCCTGCAGCGCTGAATCATCTCAGCCCCACGCTGAGCAGCTTCTCCTCTTTCTGCTGTTCACTCGGATGTTATTGGTGACCGACTTCCTGCCTGAGTCAGAGGGCGTTTCGTCATCGCTGTTTGGGCCACAATACATTTGGATTCAACCAAATATGGGACCCAGCAGTGATCATTTGCTCTCTGCCAAAATGTTGGTAAAACACAGGTGTTCTCTCTCTACGCAGCCACCGTGTTTACTAGATTGTTCCTGTGAAAGACTCACTTTTTCTCCCTTTTTTCTCTTTCACACGGAACGTTCGTATTTGGAGAGCTGCAAGCTGCCCACATAGTGTCGTCACTGGAGCTGCTCTCTGTTTGGATTCAATGAGCTAATCCACCTACGGTGTTTGGCTCCACGCCACTCAGCACACCAAAACATCTAACCATCTATAAAACGGCCACATTTATAGGCAACAATTAAATATTAACTACATAATAGCGACTCAATAATTACCTATGACTTCTTACAAAGGATTGATACGGGAGTTAACAGAAGGCGTAGGATAACTTTGATTAAAGAAGGTGAATCAGTCAATTTATCCACTTTTGTGAGAATACTTGGGGCACAACTCTGGTTTGATTTGAGCTCACGTCTGAAACAAGTTATTTGTGTTGATATTTGAAGCACTTCAGGAAAGCCTGGGCACCTTCTCGGAGCAGCCAAACCACAGCTGTACTCTGCACATGTGGATCTGACTTTCCCGTAGAGAGGCAGTGCCTGACAGAGCCCTCCAATTTGTTTCCCCCTGTTTTTCTGAGCCGTGACAGTAAAATTCTACCAAGTCCACAAACAGGATGGTCAGAGCGTCACGCCTGTCCGTCTTCAAAGAGTTATGACAAGAGAGCATCACCAGTAAAAAAGTGAAAAGTCTGATAGCCATCAGTGGGATGGGGATTCTAGTAAACGGAGCGCTGAGTCTAGACCACTCGAGACGGGCATGTTAAGGTCACGCTCATAAAAGTCCCCTAGACACGGTGCTCACGAGGGCCTGGAGGGGATGGGGCAGGAATCACCTGCACAGATGGGGCAGGGGCCGCTGCACCGCGAGCTGCTACTGGAAGCCCCTCACCAGCCTGAGAGAGCAACAGGTTTATATGTGGCAAGTCGTGAATCAGGCTCAGCGTCATATAACTCAGGAGACTAGGCCGAGTGCGGTAGGTTTGCAGGGCAGTTATCTTCAAAACATGGACTGCAACGTGACGATGGTGTCATCATACAAGGGGATTTAAAACAGAGGAGGAGGGAAATAAATCTGTAACTGGATTTGAACACCTTAAAAAGAAGATTTTTAAATAGCCTTCTTCTTAAAAATACAACAGATCCTTCAGTGGCCACCACTAATTGACCTCTTGGAGGAATGCAACGCCTTCTCCTTGACTGACATTTGCTTTTAGCGGCTCCTGTGGGATGGGGCGGTGGGCCGGTGGAAGGCGATAGTGGGGGAGATCTTCTGGAGATAAACCGCCGTGCCCCCTGTCCCTCAGACAACAAAGAAAGTGAGTGATGTTTGTCTGAAAACCAAGAGCCGCGATCCCCCTTGTTTTGATGTGAGGGCCACCTGGGATGCGGGTCTCCATCAGCACTCAGGCCGAGGAGAGAGGAAGAGAAACAGGACTCACACAGATCTCGTCCCCAGGACAAACAATGTGAGTGACAAGCCTGCTGGAATCCCACGGAAGTCACCCAACAGACGTGGCATTCAAACACACAGAAAAAACAAGAGGCGTTTAGGTGGCCACAAAGGAGCGGAGGAGAATTGCACAGCATGGTTTCCTACATTTTTCCAGGGCAAAGGTTTAAGTCCTTCAAAATCCAAACCTTTAAGGATACCTACGAGGATCTTATAAATGTTATCTCATTTTAAATTCACAAAAGGTTACTTATGTTTTTCGATTTAAAGACAGTTTATACCACCACAATTCAAAAGACTAATATGAACTCTGGCTATGTAGTACACAGATATAGTAACTAGATGCCATTTGATGTAATAAACTACCAAACAGCAAATTAAGTATTTTTCTACTTAAACGCTACAACATAATATGCAGTGGTGTAAAGTAACTCACTACATTTACTCAAGTACTGTACTTTTTGAGGAACTTGTACTTTACTTGAATATTTCTACTATTTGCTACTTTATACTTCTACATGTACTTTGTCAATCATGTAATTTTAACCCACTACATTTATTTAATACCTTTAGTTACTTCACAGAATTAAATTAATATTGTAAAATATAATCAAATCAGACTCTAGTTCCACTTGGAGTAAATCCACAAGCTACCCTGTAGTATACAAAGTCATTCAAACTGGCAGCACCTTTTCAAGCTTTGATACACTTAAACTTAAATGCAGCAATAATTATACTCAAAACATATCATATATATAATTCTGCATAATGAGCACTTTTACTTTTGGCGCTTTTAGTATATTTTGATGCTACTGTAATACTTTTGTAATTTTAGGCGAGTAACATTTTGAATGCAGGACTTTTGTAACAGAGTATTCCTACACTATAGCAGTTTCACTTTGAATCAAGTACAAGATCTGAGTACTTTTTCCACCTCTGATAAAATGTCACAGATAGAGTAAAGCACCATTTAATTTAATCCAATAATATAAAACTTGTGTACTTTCAGTTGAGTAACATTTAAATGCGAGACTTTGACTTGTAATGGACAATTTTATGTTGAGGTTTCCTACTTTTTCCTACTGTTTGGAGGTGGAAACATTCACTCACATTGCAGCATTTTTATTTTTACACCGGTGATCACCTGCGTTAAAGTTGAATAAATAGTTTAAAAAGTTTTCATTGCTCAGATGTAGTACCAGAAAAAGAAATTGGCCTCAGTGAAACTTGAAACTTCACATTGATTAAGATTTACCTGCTGGGGTTCAGTTTTTCTTAAATCCACTGAGACCTGGTTAATAAATCTGAGGCGGTGAATACAGTTTGGGAAAGCAGAGATCACAAGTTTCTGCAGGCCAAATCTGATCCAGAAATAGAAACATTTGGGAGGGTTTTAACATTCTTATATCAAGACAAAAACCAAAGGTTAAGTGATGATGAGAGTGTCTACCATCCCAGACATGAGTGAATAAAGCGTTCCTTGTCCAAATAGGATTGATTGGAAAGAAATGACTGTGGCAGATGTCCAATATCCTCAATTCCCACTTCTGATTAAATAACATGAAGATGTTCGGACTAATTTAATTTACTAGTGATCTTTACATGAGATATAATGACCTGAAAAAGTATGCAGAGCAAGTGTGCACCATGCAGGAGAACTCAGTGGATCCTATAGTATAATGAATGTGGCATGTTGCCTCAAAGTGCACTCACTCACTGCTTGGCAGGGTGTAACTCGTTAAGATTCTATCAGGTTGAGCCGCTCATTAGTTTTACAACTCAACCAAAACCTACCGGATCACAAGCCCGACAGGAGGGATCCTCTGCAGGGACGTCAGCGCTGAAGAATCTCCTGCTGCACATCTGAAAACACAGAGCCGGTGAAAACAAAAAACACCTGTGAGTGGTTGGCAAATCACATGCAGAATATCTTTACTAACAACACTGTTAACAATGCAATATTTGAGTGAGACAGTTTTGCTTGCTTTAAGTGAGGAAAACAAGTGAATATCAGGCAAAAGTTTGAATATCATTTACATGTATTTCATTAGAGTTGATTGAGTTTTATGAGTGTTTTAAAAACGAATATTTCTACCCCTTAACAGTGGTGAAAGAAAAAGTAGGAATAGCTCAAGGTAAAATGTGTAAAGTAAAAGTCTTGCCTTTAAATGTTACTCAAGTTAAAATAAAAACGTTTTATATTATTGGATGAAATGTATGTATGCAACAATGTATGTGTTTTTAAAAATATTCAAATTTGAAACATCTGAATGTTGTTCAAGAAAGTCCATACATCAACATAGTTTGGCCAATGAAATAACAGCTGTTCTTCCATGTGTATTAATCCATAAATGTAAAATAAAATGACCACATGAGGTGAACACAAGCCTCACATCTTGGGCTCAGACCTTCCGCACAAACAGAACAATCAATTTGCAGATCAATTGGAGAAAATTAAAAGTATGTTGAGTGAGGCCAGTCAAATTGTCAAAAATGCTGCACATCTTGAGACTCTTATAAAATCATCATCTCAGATATCTGGAAATGATTATTTGGTCCAGGGAACATTTCCTCACCAGCTTACATCATGTCGATGCATTTCCGTCATTTGTGTTTGTTTTTCAAAGGGGTGTGTGTGTGTGAGAGAGAGTCATGAGGACAGGAGTGTTGAAACGAAGAGGAAACACCTCTAATGAACCCAGGGGTCTCGGCTGATAACTGACGTACACACATGTACCCTAAATGAAAACAGATCTTAGTGCTGTGTCACTGCTGGAGGAGGGGAGCCTTTTTTTTGTGTGTGGGAGAAGCCCCCTCGCTGTGAGGGTCCGGGAATGCGGGGGTGTCCTGAGTGGAGCATCGGCTGTGGGAGGCAGAGCAGGGGTACGAGGCCCAGATGGATGTCAGGGCAACATCTGTTCCACCTCCTGGCAGCCCTTATCAGCAGAGACGCTGCCACACACACGGGACAGGAGAGGGGAGAAGACAGAGAGAAAGGGGCATTCTTCGCTGGGTTTAAGAAAACATGCATTCTGTTTATCCTGTAAACGAAAGTGAGGTTCCCCGTCGGGTCGCGCATTTGCATTTCACAAAGCTCACAGGGTTCATTTTGTTGTGTGTGACCACTATTGTTTATACTTCTGGTAGGTTGTTGTATTGTATGCGGCTCACTATTGCCCCTATCTATCTCTCAATCTATCTATCTATCTCTATAATAATCAACGCCTTTCCATTAATGACTCCCAACCAAAGGAGCCAACACAACATTAAAGTCGTTCCTGACTCTTGTTTTCGGAATAATCTTCTTGTCAGTTTAAAAAATGCTATGACATCGACTGATTTGTATTCTGCACATTCAAACCCGCAGCGATGATTATTTAATACTAACACATCTGTACATCTATATTCAATTTGATACTGTTGATGTTTTATTTCTGTTAAAGACATTTTTTGTTTTAAGCATGACAATATTCTTTACTGTTTCAGGAGTCATGCTGAAAAATATAAAATATGAGGGTAATATTTTTTAAAGCCCACATGGTTTCATTCAGTCTGTTCCCCACACTGTAAGATCATGAATGTTGATATGCAGCCCCTTTTCAGATGTAAACCCCTCCCGATAGAATATTTCCTGCGATCTCACTGACTGCTCTCAGTGTAACCAGGTGCTTCATGCAAAGACATGATGTGAATGTATTGCTTTTTATGTCAGATAATCAAAACAAAAAAGCTCATTGTGGTAAGTTACATTTGATGTTGGGAGGCATTCGGTTCATTCTCATTCTTTACATCCAGAATCTTAAAAGGAGCCCTCTGGCATTTCTGCATGTTTCACCTTTTTTTTTTACAAATCACACCTTCACTTTATAGGACTGCCAACAATTAGGCTTGCCATAGTTTGTCAGATTTCTCAAAGTTTTTTTCCTCCCCTCCAGGCACCCGTTAATTACCATTCATGTTACTGAATTATGTAAATGTGCTTGCAGAGACTTGAAGGTTTCTTGAGTAACTGTATCCATCACAGTAAACATTTGCCTGCGTTATTGTTGCTTGGTAAAGTACAGATTGATTAATGAAGTATTTACTGTGTTACCACCTGACAACAATGATAATATAACTTTAAAGCTTATTTTCTGTAAGCCACAATGAGGGTCTGCTGCCAACAAAGGTTAGAAAACAAACAGCTAGACACAAGAAATTAAACAGGAAGCGCAGGTAAAGGTTCAGTGTAGGAGGAGAGGACCAGCTGCATCTTTTTCAGGGGAATAAAACCGAGCGTACAGAGATTGAGGAGGAGTGGACAAGAGAGAAATACCCTGTCTCTCTTTCTCTCTCCCAGGAGGGCTGCTTCGCTGAGGTCCTGGCCTCTATCCTTCCCCTGGGCATCCTGCATGCCCATGCTGAGGGAGGGCGGCTGTGGCGTGACCAAAGGGAAGCAGAGCGAGTGAGAGAGAGATGGAGAGAACCTGAGAGAGATAAAGAGGACTCAAAAAACAGAGAGAAAGTGAGAGCGACAGGAAGAGAGAGGGGGGAGCGAGCGCAGCAGCCCATGGTGGGTCTCAGGGCTGCAGCAGCCTCCAGAGCCGGTGTGCAGCAGACTGAAGAGAAGCACGTCTGCCCCAGAGGCAGAGACTGGAAAACAGGATCAAAGAGTCGCCAGGGCAACCTGCATGACACACATTGTATTAAAGCCACACGGTTAATTTGAAAGAGAGGGAAGGACGGCAAAAGGAGAATAAAAGGGGAGGCAGAGGTAGCACAGAGTAGAGTATATTTATTAGGAACTCCTGTCTCACTCGGTTAACTTTCCACTCAAAACTTTCTTCAGCTGCTCCACTTTGAGTGCTTTTTTTTCCCTCAACTTTGGCTCGACCTTAACTGGCTCTTCTGCATTTTCCCGATTATCTCCCAGTGTCTCACATTTCCACAGGTCGCCTTAAATCATGAATCAGAGACATTGTAAAGAAAATGTTTCCAGAAACACAGGCAAATATTCAGCTCATCATACATACTGATGCATCAATTACAAATGTTATATTGTACCAATATTTACTTGATACAGACATAAGATTAAAAAACAACTTTCACCAACAGATAAAATGCTAGAAACATGGGCTACGCAGCGGAGTAATAACACAACACACTAAATAACATTTTAATACTGTTTAACAAACCCTGAACCTGCCAACCATACCCCTGTTGTGGGGTTACACATTACAAATCAATACACTAGGGCATTAAATATGACACAGATGAGAAATATCTAACATATATATACTACAACATTTAAACAATCAAACATGGTCAATAAAAAACTAAGACAATATTGGAATTTTTAAAACTTTAATTGCCATTTGAGACAAAAAGCATGATTGAAAAAAAATAAAACAGACTGCAGTGAAAATTTTAAAAACCTAAGTGTGAAGAGATGATAAGCAAGGTCTGACGACAGATTCATTTTGCATTCAAGTGATCAAATGCACCGAACCATCCAGATCTCACGTCAGGTACAAAAAGTGATTAAACCTCTAAAAACCTGGCAAAATAGTGAACAAAACAACAACGGAAGCACAAAGCACATGTAGAGTAGGTGTGGACATTACCGCAGCACATGTTGGGTACAGACACACACCTATGGCACAATGAATACGACTCATATTAAGGTGTGGAGTCCACACCAGGGCAGGGGGCTGAACATGGCATGTGGGGATAGAAACCCCACCGAGGCAAGCAGTAATGGGGACAGGGTGCGGAGCAGGGGTGGGGGGTGGTGTTGGTTGATACGGTTTGGGATGAGGCGGGGCGGGGGTCCGCGATAAACAGCAGACAGGGAGGGGTCTTCACAGACAGTTGGAAGGCATTAGGGTGTCGGACAGGGACTTGTCAGAGGCAGCTGTTGCTGTGGCTGATTGATAGAGTTTATATTCCACCCTGATGGGGACTGGAGTCGCTACACAGTGTTGAGAGGCATTATGTCAAATCAAAAAGAAGAAAAAAATACAGTTGAAGTGTAGAAAAATTACAACAAATATGATATTTTCTGAACACTGAAATGACACTAAATCCATCACATTCTCTACCGTGTGGCTACTTCCAGCCAGGTGAATCATCGTGGTTGTTTTTTATTGTTTGGTCTTTGATTCGGCATAATTTATAAGCGTGGTATGATGTATACAAATCTGAACGTAGCTCTACAAGGTTAACATACAGAGCAATAAAATATATCCTAAATTGCACAATTATAAAAAGCATTCAGACTTGTTTCCGCTTTCTTATAATGGTCTCCATAAAGTAACCTATAGCACTTACTGAGTCACATGATTAGTAGTGCTTGTGTATGGCTGCACAGCAATATGCTCGTTTGCATGTACATATTACTCCATGAGATACACAGACTACACTATTCAGATTAGATATTCAGAGACGGTGCGACACACCAATATGTAACTACCGTACATAACACAAGGCTCCGGACTCACAATCACACGACGACAGTCGTTGTCACCGAGTCTAACAGAGAAGCACACTTGACAGCCATACAGCACTTCTCAGTGGAAAGAACATCAACAAGCCCACCTAAACATCCTGTAAAGTAATTACGGATGTTAAACATATCTACAGACAACCTGGGCTCCACTCTGTGAGTGACAGTGTGTGTGCGTGTGTGTGTGCGTGTGTGTGTGTGTGCGTGCGTGTGTGTGTGTGTGTGCGTGTGTGTGTGTGTGTGTGTGTGTGTGTGTGTGTGTGTGTGTGTGTGTATGTGTAAGTGTGTAAGTGTGTCCTATGATGACTGAAGGAATGCCATGTGTCCCACATGCCATTGGTTAAATCACAATGGCACAGACAGTAGTAAACAAGATTTCCATTGCTGGCAAAGTCCAATGATTTTCTTGACAAACCGCTTTACATTGCGTGGGTTTAATGGCAGCTCTCCTCTGTCAGGCTGTGGTGGCTGACTTGTGCGTACACACTCATCCGATTTGAAAAGTGAGAGCACAGTGAAGGGAGGATAACATACGTAACACATTTCAAAGAGAGAGGCCAACATCTGCTGTATTTTACTGTGTGTGCATGTTGTCTGTGCATGAGTGTGTGTACATGGGCACCAGCAGGATGTTTTGTTACTTTGTTGTTAGCCGCTAATGTCCATAGCATTAGCAACTTTAGCATCATATCCTTGCCGGCTCTGTGTCTTTGTCCTCCAACAGGCTAATGAACTGACCGAAGCTTTCCTTCACTGCTTCCAGGTTGTCGGTGGAGCTTCCCTCCAGGACCCAGCGCTTCCCTCTGGCCAGCGGCTCCAGCTCAAAGTACTTCTTCACCTGTCGGCAGAAACACAGTGTGGTCAGTCACAACATTCAGTAGGAACTAGAGATCCTGTTGGATCACAAGGGCAACATCTTTTCAATATAAAAAATTCTTAATCCAAGTTTGAATACATTTTATTTAGATTTTTACATTAAAAGATAAAACACTAGTCTCAAACCATGGATCATTAAAGACCTACAGTTTGCAGGTCTTGTAATGCAAACAGCACCGGGTCATTTCAATAATTAGAACCCCTCCACACATGTAGGAGAACGTGCTGCTGATTTGTTTCACTCCATGGTAAAGCATTGTGATGATTTTAGACTATGCTCAGGTTACAATCAAGCTAAGCAAGAGAGAAGACCAGAATGATCATTTAGTCATTTGTATTTGGACCACAGTGTAAGGAAAGCTCTGGTTCAAATGTTGCATTACAGTTTTCAGAGGCCACACTCCTTGTCCTCTGAGGCCCAGAACATAAGAAAAGCAAAATGAAAGCGCCCTGTGTATCCTCACATCAATAGGCTTTCCCTGCACAGTGGTTTCTGCATATTAAACACATTAGGACACAGCCACGAAACTGCCCAAACACAGCTTTGCATCCAGAGTGCAACCAAGGTTAACAAACAAATACAGTAACATCAATAACAAAAAATCGTATTCTCCGGGAAAAATGTGGCTTGGCTGTGCTTTTGGTAACAGTTGATTATAAAGTTCATATGTTGGCTTTGGCTGCTCATAACAGTGGGGGTGTGGTGAGTTTGGGAGGGAGAACCAGAACCAGCTGCTACGTAAAAACAAATATCAACAGAGGGAAACAATGTCTTAGACCGCCACTCGAGGTACAGCAGGTTGTTAGGGTTTCTGACATTTCCAAGCGGAGAGTAATGGAAGCAATTTAGTTTGCCCGATGAGGACGAAGTTCAGCCATCTCCTCCTGTTTGTCTGATAGCCAGTGAAAAACAGACACATGTGTACTGTCGGCAGCGACAGTACACATGTGTATACTTTGTATTCAAAACTCTTTAAAAATGTGACAGAAGTGGAAGGGCATTTTCTTTGCTTGTCAAAATATGAAAGCCTTGAAAATAATCAGTACATGATATAAAGTATGATTTTTTTCTTTGTTTTCATATTTTTAATAATCTGGTTTTCAATCATTAAAGCTGACTAGAAAGGGAACATTCATCAGTAATACCACTATCATAAATCCATCCAAATCCAGTATGACTTTTCTCACAATCTGTTTAGGTTTCAAATAGCATTTCTACACATTTCTGCACATTTCAAACAAAGATTGATTAACTAACAATTGTTTAAATCAACAGTGTTGTAGTAATCAGTATTCTGAATTGATATTTTTCCAATTCAAATACACGTGGAAACTGCAGCAATCACACACAGGTGCCCGTCACACAGGGAAATTACTTTTCAACTTCAAGTGAAATTGCTTTTGTCTAGACCGTGCTGTGCTGTCTAGCTGTGCCATGGTGTGTGGCATGAAGAGGATAGAGAGGAGGAGGAGGGGGGGGGGGTATTCTTTGTGTCTGCTCAAATCCAGCCAGCCATGCCAGTGATAGGGAGAGCGAGCACTGTCTCTGCCCCTGAGCCGAGTCTCTGTCCGGGTGTAATGTGAGTTTAATGACAGATTAAGTCACCTCAGTCGCGTTTGGCTCAGAGGCCTGGCTAGAAAGCCGAGTGGACCCAAACAGTGTTAACAAATCTGTCTGGGTAACTCGAGCTGCCCTGGTCCATGCTCTAGCCTCAGACCTAGACTGCAGACGATGCGGCTGGCTGCCTCTCTGGCTGGCTGGCTCACTTGTCCGCCTGTAGTCAAGGCCCTCTTCTGGAAGACTCTGGCCCCTGCACTGGCAGACAGTCAAACGGCCAGCAGTGACCTCTGAGCAAGTGCAGACAGGCTCAAGCTTCTCTCACTTCCTCGCCTGGTGGGCCCAACAGAACACGCCCAGGGGCATCTCCAGTTGGGCAAATGTCTTCCACCTGTCGTAAGATTAGACAACTGCCACAAACCAGATGGCTTATTACGTTTCAGTGCAGTATAATAATTGTGCACGAGGAGTCCGAGACACCCAAGAATCACCCCTGTAATAATACTTAATTGGTATAAACACCTTCATACAGGCTGCATTTCATTGAAAGGGCAAATACAATCCAGAGATTTTACTCACACAACAGGCGGGCGGGGTAAGTCGCCAAATACGCTGCCTAAGTGTTACATGACTGAAGGAACCCCATGACCTGAGAGCCGGTGAACCTACCCTGGCAGTCCACGGTGAGGGCCAAACCAGTTTCTCTGAGATTAAGTCCTCTAAGCACAATTATGCTTGCTTAAGGAATTGCGTGAGGCAGTGGGAAGGGTAAGCCACACAAGACCTGGGTTGCCAGATGGCTCTGAGGATGACCACTGGGTCACCCAGTCTAGCCTCGCCTTGTGCATGGGAGAAAGCTGCTTATACATGCATAAGAGTGTCGAGAAATCTTTAATCACCTGTGTCTGTATCAAATGCATTCCTGCTTCTGGAATCCAGGCATGATAGCCACCAGTGGGCTCTGTGCTGAAGAGCCATAACACTTTGGTAGTTACAGCACACAGAGGACAGAGCAATGACTGAAAACATGAATGGACTGGATTTTATATGTAATACTTATGACATTATTATCACTGCCAATTATAGTTTTTTTATGAACTGTATAATTCTATTTTGAGAAATGCTAATTAACATGACAAAAAAATTTAAGTTTGTAAATGTTCTCTTATGTTCTTCCTAGCACACTGTACCATACCAAACTGGTAATATGCATGATATAACCATAGTGACACTAGATCACATCTTCCTTTCCAATAAGCCACAACTCTTCTTAAAAAAAGTCATATTAGGGTAATATATATATTTATATACTTTTAACTGGCCGTCCGGATCGCCATCTATCTGATACAAATGTTTTAGTAGATTTAAGTCAAATATATTACAGTTATTTTTCCAGAAATATGTATTATGATTGGATTTTCAACTGATTTAATAAATGGCTTTAACTGCTTTTGGAAATCAGTATCAAGGCTATTTGTGGAACAGGACCCAAAATAAAACACAGACTAAAACTTCCTCTTGAGTGGATACAGTTTTTCCATCTTTTGACATATTGATGAGAAGAGACAATTCCTCCATTACTTTTTGGAAAATGAGTTTGGAGGAAATGTCACTTCATTAAAAGGTAAATCATTTTGAGTCTACAGGGAGTGGCTGCACAGCTAATCTTAAACTCCAGCCCTGGCCAGCCTGCTTCATGCAGCTTAAGACAGAGGATGGGCATGCATGGCACGTGCATCCAGTCGCCCCCTGACCCATGAACGATTACTACAAGTGATGGTCACTGTTGGCATCATGTCAGGTCAAGAGGATAGCCTGGCAGAATAAAAAGAGCTTTGGCCGCCGTCCGCTGCCAGCCGAGCCCTGCTCTGCTCTGCTCTGCTCTGGGCCCCGGATCAACTAAACACACCAGGGAGGCGGGGCATAAGGATTCAAGCTTCATTGTCATGTGCACAGTAACTACAGTGTAGATCTGGCAATGAACAACTTAAGTCACAGGCTCCTCCAACAGCTAAACATGAATATATAGGACATAAAACAAATACAAAATTGTGCAAAAGAATGTTTTGAGATGTGCCAAAATGTAAATAATAATATAATAGAAATAGTGCAAGAAGAGTCTATATACAAGTACAGTATATACAAATACCTGTCTTGTTAAACAACACATTTGCAAAAAGCTGTTTTAAAATAAGTACAATAATTTAACTGAAGTTACTGAGGAATTACTTTGTATTTCTTAACCTGCTTATATTACTTACCGTAGTTTTCGGACTATAAGGCGCACCTGAATATAAACCGCAGCAGCGGCATATCACTCTCGGTTCCACTTTTACTTTTGCGCGCTACCTGTCTCACTCTTTTCCGGCCTCCAGTTTTTCCTGCTGGAACCCGCCGCTTAAAGGTGGGGGTCCGCGGACCGGCCATAGAGCCCATAGAGTTAAAGGTGTTGGCCGTTAGCTGTAAAAATCCATAGATTAGCCGCACCGTTATATAAACCGCAGCGTCGAAAAATAGGGAAAAAGGCGCGGCTTATAGTCCGAAAATTACGGTATATTCAAGCTTAAAGTTAAAGCTGCTGCCATCCCAGCATGCACTGCGCAACAGGTTTGGTATCCAAACAGGGAAAGTAAAAAGACTAATGGAACCCAATTTCACATCTCTAGTATAGACATTTCAATCCAGATTGACTCTGCTATCAATGTGCCGAGCAGCCCAGCTTTTAGATGTACACAGTGCAGGACTGTATTTTATAGTGACCCTTAAGTATAACCCACAATGTCACGGACAATTACAGTATGCAGCATGCTGACATGTACCAGTAACTGGAAGGGATTTATCTTCCATGGAGCATTCTCATCATTGAATCCCTACCCTTTATGTTTCCTATAGTCATTTTTGCAATTGTGTTAGTGCCGAGAAATTCAGATTAAGTGCCCTTCTCAAGGGTGCGATAGCAGAGGTCCAAGGCAACAGTGTGCACGCAGTTAACATGCCATATTCAGGATCTTTGTGATAAAAAGTCCTGCTGTGGCTCAATGGTCCTGAAGTATGTACGTGATTCGGGAAATCTAAGTCAGTTCTACCATTCTTGCAGAGGTTAACAGCAATGCCAGATGTAACAGATGCAGGTTTGTTGGATACACTCCGACAGCAGATCAGTATCGTAAAAGAAAGTTAAATGACCTGCGCTGTCAACTCTCAATTTCTCATCTAGAGCTGAGGTTTTTTGTTGTAAAGTCTGGCTCTTGCAGCTGCCTCAGGATCCTAAAGTCTGAGAAAAATATCTAAACTAAATTCAATAATATCAAATAATACTAATAATCTCTTCCTGTTTAAGAAACAAGATCATAAAAGGAAGAACAGGAAATGTTTACTTGAGACGATTTTGCCTTTCAGCCATGTTTGAAAAAGCCAAAACAGAAATAGAAGCTGATAAAGGGACTTACTCAAACCGATAGGTTATCCTTCAAAGACTGCTTTCCTGCAGGCAACTATCACAAGTCCTCTGTGGAGCAAGGAAAGCTTTACTCAATAAACTCATTGGAGAACCAGTGATTTTAGCCTAGAGGTTTTCATTTGGATAAACTTCAGCAGGGGCCCTTTTTCAACAAAAATAACATCCTTTGTTCAAAGGCTTCTTTTGAGCATGTGTGCATAAAGTGACCAACTGTACGGGGAAGGCAGCGAAGAGGAGCCAAAGACATCTTTATATGTACGTACAAATTAAGTATTTAAGACGGGCATATTTATGTTGTATAAGCTTTAAAATAACTGTACCTCATCAAATAGAAGATATGGCCTCCAATGCCCTTGTTCTGAAATGTACCATGACCACATGTCTATCCTGCCTCACTGTCATGTGTCAAAACCTCACCACATGAGTAAGCCATATAACTGGAGAAGGAAGCATTAGGGGGTCTCTGAACGAGGGAAAGTGGCATACTCAAATATCCAAGACAATCAATTACACAATCCCTTGACATGTTGGCCCCAGTGAAAATATCAGTCACTTGGAAAGTGGCCCACAGGCGACTGCATTGCAATGGGGGAGTAATGTGAGATCCACAAACCATATAATAGATATGCTTTTGTTTGCTTTTCCGGCTTACCTAAAGAGCCTTAAAGACAAGCGAATGCTTGGGAAGCCTGTGAAAAAACAAACATTGCACAGCAAACTGTTGGAGGTGTCAAATGAAGCAGCCCACTGGCCAGAAACAGAAACTTAAAGCAGATGTAAGCAAAGGCTGCACTTTGGGCAATGAATTTGAATCAGAGGGGATTTCTGTCCCGCAACCAAGGTGGATAATGACCTGATCATGTATTAAGAGAAAGTCACACAGGTAAGGTATTTGACAATAGAACCTTTCTGTCCACGTTACTTGTAGTGAGGACCTCCCTCTGAATTTGGTTGGGACAGCTAACAGGTGACCCAACACAGACGGAGAAGTATAAAGCCTCGTACTCCAAGTGTTCCTCCTCTGCAGACTGCTGCTGTCACACAGATACAACAATCACCATTGTCCCTATAACGAACCATCCCATCTCTGCAACAACTCATGGACATACCATGTATAGAACAAATCTACAGCAAGTCCACAGAAAAGGTTGCCCTCAAAGTCAATGCAAGATGTCTTGCATGTTTTGTATGCCTGTTTGTGTTGTTGTTTTCTACTTGCTTTCTTCTTTTTTACTATCTCGTGGTTCCCATATTTTTGGAGGAGGCAGAAAGTGAAACAATCTGCTTAGACCAACAAGCCAATCATCAATAAGAAGTGGTGCACAGTTGGCACAGACCGAGACCTCCATGTTTATAATTGTGTAATTGCGGCCCTAGCCATATTAACATAATTGCGGTGGATATCTGGGTGTCCATGCAGAACCATGCAGCAGGGCTTAGAAAGAAAATGCTAGAACATTGCATAAACAAGTAAAACAACAGAGTGGGAGAGACAGAAAGATATGGACTTTCACTTTAGTCCTTTCATTTGCTGTTGAAACCATCCAGGCCTAGCCAGCACGTAAAAGCGTTGAGGCGACCTTGGATCCGGGCCACAGTTGGAGAACTGTTGGACCAGGGGATTCTGCAGCCAACAAATTAAGACCTAAGTCCCCATGTCACAGTGTAAAAACTGAGCTGCGTTTAGATTTACTGTCCTGCTCCACTCAGGTGGGAGCGGGGGTCTCCCTGAGGCTCAGCTCAGTGTAGGTTCAAAGTGATTCACTTGCTGTGCACTTCCCTTCAAAGCCAACTGACCACTGCCAGATCAGAGCCATCCTCAGAGGCGCTGTAAATCTAAGCAGGACTGCACAGAGGACATTCTTCCTGAATCTTTCAGTAGCACAGAGGCATTTCTTTTTCTTGCAGCAGATCAGATGACTTCCACAAACACTGGCCGCTGTTACCTGGGTAAATGACCCATGCCTCAAGTCTGCTAGTGGCAACAACAGATGCTGTGTGGGTTTGCAGAACGAACATTCAAACACACTTAAACACTGGGGATTAGAGCTGGGTGGTTTTTCAATAAAGTGTATCCCCTCCCAGCAGGACCATGTTCATGATTATCTTATTCATTACTAAATTCTGTTTTTGTATAAAGAATGCTGTGCAGGACATTATCAAAAATATTGTAAATGTTTTACACATGTTGAGTTTTTATTGCTATTACCAATTACTCTGATTATTTCACTTGATAAATATATTGATATTGGCAAGCATCCTTATTAGAATTGTGATCTGGATCCTCAGAATGTATTACATAAAACAGGCTACCCTGATGCACATTTGCAGAAACAGGATAATTTGACTTAAAACACAAAATCTCAAAATACATTTCTCTTGGGTTAGGGTCCCTGAAAAAGATCAAGGACTGGAGTTCAGAATCCTGTTGATTTTACAGTCTAAGTATGAATGACATGTTCGTTTGTAGGAGTGCAGGTTAGGGGGAAAAAGGAAGGAAAACATCCGTCCTCTTGTGTATATTGGAAAAGTAATCGGCAGGTTCAGTAGCTGGGACACTAGGGGTTGACCTGCAGGACACTAAGGAAACAATGTGAGCTTGGGATATACAGGGGGAGGTGGGGTAACCATGTTTGCCTTGCGTTATTACAGATTTACAGTAACTCAATTTATTAAAGGCCAAGAGCTTGCTGACAAGTAACATCTGGTATGTGGGACTTCTTCAACGGGCGAGCTGGCGTCCTGCCCATGCTCTCTGCTGCAGGGGCCACTGCACCAGCACCTTCCCTAGAGCCTCTCTGCTTCTTGTGAAGAGGGCCGCCTTGCTGTAGCAGCCCACACAGAGGGCCCTCAAAGCCCAGGAGGTCCGTTACAAGCCACCCCTCCTCCGGCAGGACCCCCCTAGTGGGTCCCTCCACCCTTTTCACTCTGGGGCCCCCCTTTCACGCTCCAGTCCTGACAGTTGACCAGCTTTAAAGCTACAGCAGGCCCCCGCTTTAGCACACAGCACGCGGCATTACTATCAAAGTGCTGCAAAAGATTGAAACCGTGCGTCAAGTTGGAGTCTGCAAACTCACACCAAGTCGACCTCTCGAATATAGACAAACACAGAAACACAGTCACATATGCCATGGGACCAAGCTATTCAAGGTTCGCTGGGTCTTTCTTGCACACCTTTGACTATTGGAGAACATTGGAGGACAATAATAAAAAAAGAAAGAAATGAATCATAAACAATCAAATAAACCAAGGCTTACTTGTTTAAAAACACGCAGCACTCATTTCACTGCTTTTCAAGTCTGTCTTTAACTTTTGCTCAATGTCCTATACATCACTTTATCAAACTACACTTTGTTCAGTCCCGTATTCAGTGGGGTCTTAGTGTGTATGTTCAAAGTTACATTGACACCGGGCTGAGCATCGAAAGTGAGAGTTGATGTTCTTTAGTGTGTTCAATGTGTTTATTTGTATGCAATATTATTTCCTTCAGTCACAGAACTGCTTCAGGCTAGTTTTAACTCCTGCCAGGAAATCAGGATCATACAGCCAAAGATTTGACCCAGCTCAACAGTTGAGGATGAAAGCTGTCCCATGTGCTCCTTCTGTTCCAGTTAATTATCCTTAAACTCAGTAACGACTATCAAGAGTAAAGTATTACAAAAGTAAGGCCTGCATGAAACTATTCCAGGAATCCCACATTTGTTTAGCATATCTATGCAATCAAAGAAACCTTTAGGGAAAAATCATTAGTCATTTGGAGTTTTGTCAAAAGGGTTAGTTTCAATGGCTGAAAACCTCCATGGAGGAGAACCCCCAGAGATTCCCAGCGTTTGATCCCTGTGAGTCAGCAATGGAACCTGGGGGTCACGTCACATGCTGAATAGGCTTTTCGGAAGTCTTGTCCTGGCTAGTGGCGGCCGGCCGTCCGACCCTGCTTGACCACCAGACAAAGGGAGGGCACTGACTACAATTGGGATGGGGGGGGGATTATTTTCTCCACCAATGGAAAGTCCGATCCTGAATAGGGTCTGGCTGGCTGAATTGCGTTCCACACCGATTTTGAGAGTGAGGACCCACTGGGGTCAGGGTTCAGCAGCATTTGACGCGGGCTGTGGGAAAAGGCTAGCACGGTGCCCGCACAACCTGCCGACTGCCCTCTCACCCATGGTGCCCCTTAACCTCCCAGAGGGATGGACCACCAGCCCAGGGATGACAGGATGAGAAAGGCTTTATGGGTGGGAAATGGAAAGAAAGCTGAGATGAAGTTGGGCGGGAGGGCTACACTAGTGGGATAGACAAAGATGTAAGAGAGATAAACCATCAAAGAAACGAGACGTTTCTAAGTAGCTTCACATATTGCGCTCCGAAGGTCTAGCACACATTCTCTAGAGGGTAATCAATATGTGCTGCTTGACTGGTTTTCCAACCCTTGCCTCCCAAGGTGCGACGGATGAAGCGTTGGGTACCCGTCTGTGAGATCTCTCCTGACACTGAGGGGCTGCAGTCCTTCGTTGTGTAATCACTCACACAGCACACATGCAAAGAGAGGTTAATAGGCTCTATGGAAACGTACGCTACAGTACCTCTAAGAGTGGACCACCATTTACAAACAGACAGATATATTTACTAGCTTAAACATCTGGACTCACAACTCTCACAACTTCATTTCTTCCACAAAATGTAAGAAGATAACCAGACATACATTGAGCACTTTGTTCCACATTTTAGGAGTGCCTCACTTTCCAACACCGTGGAGAACATGTTCTGTTGTGCTGCTTGTTAAGAAATAGAACGTTTTTTACAGAGATCTACAAAATGTGTTGATGCAGTGTTTCCCACAGAATTTGATTCTATTTGTGGGGGCACCGCACCCCAACCCCCCGTTGCGCTGTGTTGCGTTGTTAATGATTGAGACACACCGGACTTGAGGATCTGTGCGGTTTATTCTCCCAAAAATATAATTTACAAATTAAGCATTTAGCAGACGCCTTATTCCAAAGGGACTTACAATGACAAGGGACATTCTCCCTGGAGTAACTGAGGGCTAAGTGCCTTACTCAAGGGCACACTAGTATTGGTGTTCCAAACGTGATTTGAACTCGCAACCTTCTGATCATCAGCCCACCTCACAGGGGTTTCCAAACTTTTCAGCCCGCGACCCCCAAAATACCAGTGCCAGAGACTGGCGACCCCCTGTCGACNGCAAGAGAAAAAGCATTTGAACTACCTATTACTATTTCAGAAATAAATACCTTGACGTGGTTAAACAGGATGGCGTTTTATCACAACCAAATTTAACTTTATCTAAAGTTAAATTTGGTTGTGATAAAACGCCATCCTGTTTAACCACGTCAAGGTATTTATTTCTGAAATAGTAATAGGTAGTTCAAATGCTTTTTCTCTTGCAGGTTTATCACAAGGTGAGTTATTTTTTTATTTCCTGCTTTTTAAACACATGTGCTCTTCAGTACAGGTTAGCTCTGAGTGTTAGCGACGCTTGCTAATGTAAACAAAGACGTCCAAAACACGTCAGGCATTGTTTCTGATAGCAACTTTCTGTGGGTCCGCCGCCAAATTGACGTCAGTTCGGATGGAATCTGTATCCGCTTGTTGTACACCCGTTTTTAAAAGATTTGGGTACGGAGGAAAAGAGAGAGGATTTTATTTTCTGACGCTGTGTGAGTTTCCCGACGCACCGGGGAAACATATTCATGTATAAAAGACATAAAAAACTGCATTTTGCATGATAGGTCCCCTTTAAAGCAATGGTTATAATTGATAAAATATAATGAATAACTTTGATTCCTTTATTTAATATTATCTAATCCAATCAAGTTATTTTCATTTTCCTATGAATCGAACATTTTTGTAATAATAGTATATTTGAAATGTAGAGCCCAATAACAGTTAACCAATCAGTGAAAATGTATTTAAAACACAATGTCCAACATTGAAGAGGCACATCTCCCAGTGGCTTTTAGCAGCTTTGTAAATAGCCTGAAGAGAAAAAATGTACCTGGAACATGAAGTGTCATCTTGGGATGTGATCTAATAGTAACATAGTACACATACTGAAGTCTCACCAGAGCACTGGTATAGGTGGGGTCTGAAGTATCGTCCTCGAGGAATCGTGACAGCCCGAAGTCGGACACTTTGCACACCAGGTTGCTGTTGACTAGGATGTTCCTCGCTGCCAGGTCTCGATGGACGTAGTTCATGTCACACAGGTACTTAATCCCTGCTGCTATGCCACGCAGCATTCCCACCAGCTGGATCACCGTGAACTGCCCATCGTTTTGCTGTCAGAACGACATCAAGTTAATGTTTTTTTTTTTGGCTGAACCCAAGGTGTGCTGGATAATAGGACTTTACATCTGAATTAATATAAATCCATGTCTTGGCTGGCTTTGGAGCAGATTCAAATGTATATGTGTTTCACCTTTGAATCGGTAGTCATGGATACCTGCATTGACATTTGCCTTTAAATGCCAAAATAATTCTTAAGGATACAAAGACAGCTGACCATGGCACAGCAGATATACAGTCTGTAGGCATGAATTTGACTGAGTGTTGTGGGACTCCTTGGCTGCTTGGAAATGGAGTGAGTGACTGCAGAGTACATTTGGAGAGACTGTGGACAAGTTATAAGCCTGCCAAAGTGGAAGAGTAATAATAACCAGTGGCCATGTATGAAGGTAGATATGGTGCAAAATGCAAGAGCTTGTAAAACCTGATGTGAGCACTTGCAGAAAAATATCTGAGCTTGTGTGCATACATTTACCCTCCAACCCGCCTCCCTCCCCCCACATCTACAGGTGAAAATTACTTAAGCGACACATTCATCGCAAGAAGTGTAGCAAAAGTCAAGGCCGCAGATTCATCAATTTATACTGCCACAGAGCAGATTCGTGAATTTGTAATGACTGATTTGAGAGGTTGTAATAACCAAGTTGCATTTGTAATGGAAAATATATTTTAAAAATATTTTTTTTTCTGCAAGTGCACATTTCATCACTAAGTTCATTTTTTTTCTACAAGCTACAAAACTTTTTTTTTTCTTCTGTGACTTCAAATTTGGTTTACAGATACGTGGATATTTGTATACAAGTGCAAAATGTAATGTATGCACACAAGCTCAACATTTTTTTACAAGCTCGCGCATTTTGCATCATATCTAACTTCATACCATATGACTGGACTTTGTCCTGAACTAAGTACTGAACCTTTTCACTAATCAACGGAGGTGGAAGAAGTACTCAAATCTTGTTCTCAAGAAAAAGTGGAAATAATAATGTGTATGAATACTCTGTAAAAAGTTAAATTTGTACATTCAAATATTACTCAAGAAAAAAATAGAAAAGTATCAGCATCAAAATATACTTAAAGTACCAAAAGTAAAAGCCATTTCAGAAAGGTATGTATTTTTGTTTTTTTAGATTATTATTATTGAGATATTGACGTGTTTTTAAAGCTTGTAAAGGTGAAGTTAATTTGAACTAATTGTGAATGTAATCCAAGTTCATCTAAAGTTTAGCTGTTGATCATATTGTTTATCATTAATCTATATCTGTAAGTAACTAAAGGTACAACATAAATATTCTTAAAGGAGTAAAGTACAATGTAGCATAAAATGGAAATACGCAAGTAAAGTACATTTACCTCAAAATGTTACTTAAGTACAGTATTTTGGTGAATGTATACCACTGCTTATCAGTGTGTTGTTTTTACCCTGAGGAAGGAGTCGAGGGATCCGTTCTCCATGAACTCAGTGACGATCATCACAGGGGTGCTTTTGGTAACCACCCCCTCCAGATGGATGATGTTGGGGTGGTCGAACTGGCCCATGATGGAGGCCTCGCTCAGAAAGTCCCGCCTCTGGCGCTCAGTGTAGCCTGCCTTCAGCGCCTTGATGGCTACCAGGATCTCTCTCTTCCCAGGCTGTCGGAGGTTCCCACTGCACACCTCCCCAAACTCACCTGAGAGGAAGTCAGAGGAATGTCAAGTATATTTTAAATAACAGAGGTAAACTCATCACGCTGAATTCAAAATGGTCTTTAGTTACTCTTGTCTTTAAAAGCCGTAATGAAAATCTAAGTAAATGAATTATAAATAACTATCATTTTCTATGACGTCATTTTCATAGCAATGGTACATAAACTTTGTTTTTATCTTGTTGGACATTAATATGGTATGTTTCAGGGAGGAAAGCCATGATGTATAAAGTGGTCAGGACCCTCAGAGCCCTGAAGAGTTCCAATAAGTTCTGTAAAATGTTAAAAAAAAAAAACTGTTCAGTCCTCAGCTGCTTCTCTGACTTCATTTCTTTTTTCATGAACTGTTTCTATTTACCTGCACCAATAACTTGTTCAATCTTGACACAGGACATGTCAATCTCCTTGGCAAACTCCCTGACTGCTTCATTAGGGTCTTCATATGTGAAGGGGTCGATGTAGATTTTCATTCCAGGTGACACTTCAACAGAGAGATAGAAGAGGGACAGCAACGGACATACAAAACGGAAGCATCACAGCACAGAGTAAAAAGATCCTGGAATTTTGATGTGCTCTTCCAAACCCAAACCAGCCACAAAGAACATCCTTTTTGATAACAACGCAGTAAAATATGCTACTTACTGTGACCACTGGTGTAATGCTGTTGGAGTTTGTCTGTGTACTCTGATTCTGGTTTTTCCGTACTTCTCCTGCTGTAGACAAAAACATAGAGGCTTGCATTTCAAGAGATCCATCTCCATGAACTATGTCACTGATTACACTAAGAAGTGTGATAGGGAGGAACCTCTGGAAAAACCCTCTCTCTATGGATCTGTTTTGACCTCAATCTGAATGTCACTATGGTATTAAGAGAATGATAGTTCTCCTTCTGTCAGGCCTTTCAAAACGACTATGGCTTATCCTCTTTGTCTTTCTTGCTTCAGAGACCAGTTGCAGGTAGGATACAGATATAACAACCCAGTCTCATGGCATTTCGTGTTCACCAACACAATTTTTAATCTATTGATTCGTGTTCACCAACACGATTTTCTCCTTTTTTTCGTGTTGCACAGCACGATTTTAAAAGCAATGTATTTCTACTGGTAATGTGTTTCGTACCTGCAGCACGTCTTTTTCTCCGGTCGGGTCGTGGAAGACCGGAAGCTGTGTGGTTCATAAAAACATGTTCTTACTCAATATCAAGCCACAATTATTGCTTTTATTTTAAATCGTATAATTTCTGACTTTTGTTTCCGTCTGTGAGGAAAATAAATGGGGCTCAGAGCCTCAGAATACTGAAATCTGTATTTTTAAATCTTTTTTTCCTTCTAATTTGTTATTCTTTTCAAAATAACACACTGTTATTTACTCACCAATAACACACAATTATCCTTGCTTTTATTTATTGGTTTGATTCCATAATCTCTGGCTTTTTTGGTGTCCGTCAGGAACTGAATTTCAAAATAAAAATAACCGGAAACAGACGTAGGCCTCTAGGAGTTTAGGATGGCCGAAGACACTACACTACCCATAATCCCCAGCTATCGTTTAGGACTACAGTCCCCGTGATTAATCTTCAAGCGCTGGGATTGGATGTTGGAGTGGCAGTGCGCCAAGGTTACGCCGAGCGTCAAACAGCTGTTTGAAATGGAACAAAACCACGCCAGACTATCCAAAACTGGAATCGAACGCNTCGTAAGAAAGGAGGAGTTTGTGCAGATCAACTCAAAAATGGTTTTTCACGATAAAACTCAAAAGAAGGCTGGATACTGTAAGAGGGGTTAAGAAAGACCGTCCGACCTCTAATACTCAGTAGATTTACGAGAGAGCGTTTTGAAGTCTGCCCGGACTGTCACAGACCGATATCGTCCCCTTGCAGACCGTGACGTCTACCTTACTCACCGACCGCGCCCACCGCACACACACACCAATACAGACCCAGATCAGCAAGCCGTGACGAAAAACATGATAACCAGGGTCGAGAGACGTCCAGTACCACTGAATAAAGAACACCATACCTACTGTGAAACATGGGGGTGGAAACATCATGCTTTGGGGCTGTTTTTCTGCAAAGGGACCAGGACGACTGATCCGTGTAAAGGAAAGAATGAATGGGGCCATGTATCGTGAGATTTTGAGTGTAAAACCTCCTTCCATCAGCAAGGGCATTGAAGATGAAACGTGGCTGGGTCTTTCAGCATTACAATGATCCCAAACACACCGCCCAGGCAACGAAGGAGTGGCTTCGTAAGAAGTTTTTCAAGTTCCTGGAGTGGCCTAGCCAGTCTCCAGATCTCAACCCCATAGAAAATCTTTAGAGGGAGTTGAAAGTCCGTGTTGCCCAGCGACAGCCCAAAACATCACTGCTCTAGAGGAGATCTGCATGGAGGAATGGGCCGAAATACCAGCAACAGTGTGTGAAAACCTTGTGAAGACTTACAGAAAACGTTTGACCTCTGTCATTGCCAACAAAGGGTATATAACAAAGTATTGAGATTAACTTTTGTTATTGACCAAATACTTATTTTCCATCATAATTTGCAAATAAAGTCTTTAAAAATCAGACAGTGATTTTCTGGATTTTTGTTTTCTCTCATTTTGTCTCTCATAGTTGAGGTATACCTAGGATGAAAATTACAGGCCTCTCATCTTTTTAAGTGGGAGAACTTGCACAATTGGTGGCTGACTAAATACTTTTTTGCCCCACTGTATATATATTTATTATCAAGCCACAATGCAAACATTCTCAGGGTTCAGCTTATCATTTATTTTAAATAAGGTGATTAATCGTTCGGTCAGTAAAATGTCAGCAAATAACATAAAAGGACGAAGTGACGTCTTGTTTTGTCTGACCAATAGTCCAAAACTAAAAATGATAGAATATACAAGGCTGTACTAAAAATATCTTAAAAAGCAACTTAAACCGTTAAAACATTCTTGACCGCATGTTGTAAAATGATTACAAATCAACTAATAGACTTATCGTTTAAACTCTAGCACAGATACTGTGAAATAAAAAATGAATGTCAGATTTTTGCATTTACTACCATAGAAATGTAAGGATAGTGTAAGACCTTAAACCTAGTTGGTACATTTAGAAAAAGAGCTGCTAGCTTACAAAGAGCATGAACAAATGGAAGTGTAGGCAAACGGAAGTAGCAAAGCTTTTTTATCCGCTCTGCAAACACAACACTTAGCAGCTCGGCACTTCCTAAAACTACCCAGCGATGACAGGACGGAGGAGTCCTCTTTAGAGGCTTAGTCTCTATGGAAGAGAGTGTAAATGAATGAAATACTATTTAGTGGATGATACATAATAAAGCCTCTTGTCTGGCACTCTTCAAGGACCAACATCCTCTGACCCACTACTCCAAACTTGAGCCGAGAGATTTTTCGCCGAAGCGCGCCGTATGAGAGGGCAACCAGACAAAACAGACACTTAAGTTGTCTATGTGCGAAGGAGGGAGGGAGGGAGAGGAGGATGAGAGGGAGGGGGGTGGGGTGGTGAATGTGGTCTGCTCCACTGTAGGTCACTCTGTGTCTGAGGCTAGACAGGCTTAGAGAATATACACCCCTGTACTGCAGACTTAAACTGCTTGTGCTAAATATATCCTCATAGTTGGGATAGCTGGATTTTTATTGTGGATCCGTCGTCCTTGTTCAACACGCTTATGTTCCTGCCATGGCCAAATGTGAAAGCAAATACCTGTCTGAGGTCCTTTTGGTCGAGGCTGACACTCTCAAAACACGTTCAATTCTGCAGGAAATTGGGTTCTCACGTGTCCCATAGCAAACTGGCGTATCCCATTGAATAGCTCTAACGGAGAGGATGATGTGTTAACCAGACTCATTTCACTGACTTCTGTATCAGAGATGTTTTTGTATATCTTTGCATGCTACATCTTGACTGACAGACTCAGGCTCCTTCAATCAGGTTCCAATTGAAGTCTTTCAAAACAACTAACAACGCTAACGCAATCAAACATCTTTTGTCCAGATGTGGTGTTACTTGCCAAATCAGGCACTGGGCTCTAAATACTCAAGAAAGCAAAGATTTCAGATGAATAAAGTCAACATGCCGAGCATCAAATGGTCCTACCAGTTTAATACTCTTCCTCTCCCCCACCTCCTCCCTCCTTGAATCCCCGCTCTCTAATAACTGTCCTCTTCTGTCTCGTAAAACCCTAGTGCCTTTAGAGAACTCTATAACAAGGCTTCACAAGCGCTTTAAGATGATGGTGTTGTCTTTATGTGGAGTGAGGGAGTGCACTTGGCCGAAGCAGGAGTAGACGCTCAGACACTCCGCCATGAGTGGGAGATATTGTATTATCACATATCGAAGCAGCTGCTGAGGTTAGAACCGCAGTTGTTTCTGCAAAAGGCCAGAGAGTGGAGCGAGGCCTGTCTCTAATTGAAGCAGGTCACAGACATTCCGTGTTAAGCCGTGTATCAGTGGCCCGCCAGCCGGACCCTCGGAGCTGCCCAGCATGCTTAATCAAACAGTGATTACACACAAAAGCAGGTCCGTATGGGCTCCGTAGGGAACAGCTCTGGGCACTGCAGCGCCATCACGCAGGTCTTTTCATTTGGCATCATATGTGAAGGGCCGACAATGAATTCAAAGTTTTGCTCTTAAGATCTCAAACTTCAGTCCGTTTTGAAATCGAGCCGAGATCCGCAGTACGGCTGCAAGAAATCATTGTTTCATCATTTCATCTGCTGTTTGCGGTCCTAATAATTCATGATTTTTTTCGCCAATAACATGATATGAAAGGGCCATCGCATTTTAATTGGTCCATTGGTGACATCATCCATTTCACACAGAACTAAAATATACTTTATTATTATTATAAAGAACAATAGCAGCAAATGCCCACACTCTGAAGACAAGCTTTTGTTTGAACTATTCATTTGATCCAGAGTGTTAATTAACTTGTTTGTCATCCTGCCAATATCTCTTTTACATTTTTCCACAATGTTCAATAGCTTGTTTCTCTTGTCTGTCTCTCAGACAGGTACAGAGGGTTGGAGCGTTATTGCTCAACAGCTGCCGGCCACTACTGAAAACAACCCTGATTAGAGCTGAGAAAGTGAACCAAAACAGTATGGTCGTGAGCAGGAATATCAAAACAAGGAGCTAAAAGAAGACTCTCTGGGTATATCATCAGTACAACCAACATAGTCCAGTTTAAAGCCACTTTATTAGGTTATTTTTACAGTTGTCCTTCCTTATTATTTTCCTGCAGCTTCCAGTACAAGTGTTCACAAATGTAGTAAAGAAAATGTTTTCGGTATTAGTTCACATGTTTGACCTGCAGGAGAGTCTAGCCTAAATGTACCTGTAATAGAGAGGGCCACACAAACTGTAGGGACGCAAGTTCCTGCAAGGTTTGCATTTTTTGGGACAGACGAGAACTAAGGACAAGATAATGAGTGTCACGCAAACATTCAGACAGAGTTTTTGGAGTGAATTCAAAATATCGCTTACCCAGGCCAAAATGCAACCTCATCATCTAAATGAGGTTATTCAGAAATGTTCACTATATAACAAGCGGCACACCACATTCTCCTCGGGCCGCTCGAGCGAGACAGCGTGCGAACCCAGCATAACCTCGCTGTGGATCGAGACCTTTGTTTGATTGGTCTAACCAGAACGCAATTCACACTTATTGACCGCATGATGAATGACTAGCGTGCTGACATGTGCTGAATGCCCAAAAGGGAGAGTGCTCTCATTGCCCTCTCCCATGTGAGATGGAGACCACTGTACTGTAAACAGCTGAGGGCCTCTCTTCTCGGCCTGTCTGGGTGAGCATTAGAGAACTTCCCGCCAGCAACAGCACGCCACAAAGGAACCTCTGTGGCCCAAAACACTGAAGTGGCCACTGTCTTTTTCGTGAGTCTCAGGGTGTCTCACAAACTTTTTTCCATGCAAGCTTCTTTTCTTTCACCCCCTCCCCATTTTTAGAGGCCCTTTTTTTCCTCTCCTCTGCCGTTCCTCTCAGTGGCCCCTACTGAGAGGACAGAGACAGACACTCCGCCCAGCCAAAGGTTTGTCTGCCAGTATGGTCAGCTTTGGTCTGGAACAAAAGCACACTGACGCTGCCCACACACAGCAACCCCCCCCCCCCCCCAGGTCCACAACAGACTCCCACATTCTCCCCAAACTCCGTCTTTCGCCGTTATCTCCTATCTCTTTCGTCTTTAATTGAGAAAGCATTCACTTCAAAAGATCCTTATTTTTGCACATTGCTCACCTTGGCCAGTGCCAATGCATGCTCATTGTCTGATTAAATATGAAGCTTCAAAGGAGTCGTCCCACATAATTCATATAAAAAGTAATACTGACTTAGTCTCCTGGTGACCAGTAAACTAGCTTTAATTACACATTTTTAATTCAAACCAAATCTCCGAGTGCTTTTGGAGCACCCCGGTGTGCCCAGGTAATTCCAGTTGACAATACAACTGCGCTCAGGAAACCATGAAACAAAGCCACTGATGTATTCTCCAACTGCTGGGTAAATGGACAGAACATGCAGCAGTCTGCTTCTCCAGTTACTTTTATAAACATCATGTTCATGGGGGTGATTTTCTCCCCGAAGTATTTTGGAAAAATAAGATTTCTTGGCCATGTATTCGCTGCAGCAACTGACATTCATTTTGTCATTCATTTAACAGTAATTTTAAAAAAAAAGAGCCCAACATTATGTCTTCAAGTTGCTTGTTTTTGTCTGATCAACAGTCCAAAGCCAAAAATATTCAGTTTATAATCAAGGATAATGTAGAATATAAGGAAACCAGTGAGTCTTGGAATTGTTGCTCGATAAAAGGACTGAAACTATGAATTAGATAGTAAACTTCCATCCAATCAAAGGACACAGAAAGTTTCTCTTTGGCTTTCTGTAGTCTGTCTGTTTAATGTGTTTGGTACCCTTTCTTTTCAGACAGCCTCATTAAATGTATTGATAATTGGGAGGGTAATGTATTTTCAATGTATAATAAAGCCTCTGTTTTCATCTCATGTTATTTTGTGTTTATTATTTTCAAATGTGTTTGAACTGTTTTGGTAGGTACCATAGATTCCCAGCCTCATTAATATGTTCCTCTATTCTTTATTGACCACTGTCTCTTGAGTACATAGTTTACATTTGCACATACTTTAAGTTAAAATACATAAACTGAGAGGTGATTTAAATGGTTAGTGTATGCCTAATAATATAGATGGGGTGTTCATATTATTAGAAAACAATAACCTCTATAAGACCTCTACATTGGGACCTGACTGTAAATAAATGTACTGTATATTAACTGGTGGTCTTGGCAACCAAATAAACAAATCCTATACGCCAAATGATGCTGTTTTTTGGAAAGCTGATCTGAGTTGCATTGGCATCAAAGATTGTCACATTAACTAAACCAGATTAAGTAAACAATTCAGTTTAGTCTCTTGTTCAATAAACAGTGAAGAGAGGAAAAATGCTGCGAGCGCACACAGGACTACCAATGATATCCTTTTGCCCTTACCATCACAGCGTTACAAAGCCCTACTGTCCAATACAAACTCATTTTGGCAGCAGATAAGGAGTTTTTTAAACAATATTCCAGGAAGGTAATTGGACGACAGTAGACCAGACAAACATCAATTTGTGTGTCACGCTGGCCACGGAGGGGTCCTTACCAATTTCTCATCAACGGTAATAAGCTGCGTGTCTTGTCCTGGTTTCTCTGCCAGCCTGGATGTTGATGTGCTTGTAGACCTGAAAACCATTAGATGAACATTACACGCAAAGCACAAACTGCCAAAGGAAGACAAGTAACAAAGAATGAAATGACACAAACAAGTCGCACTGGGCAATCACTGACTATCTTGGAGGAAGCGGTGGGGAGAGGACGGTGAAAAGGAAGCGACAAGGAGGGAATCCCCCCGCCACCTATTAGTTCTGTCTGGTGAATCTCTGGCAGCCTCCTGCTCTCGTCCTAATGACAGGACAGGCTTAATGCTGGCTGTGTCGAGTGTCAGGCGAGGACTGTGTAGCTCTTTGTCATTATGTGCGGCCGCGTACTGTCGCAAAACAGCAATGTGCCATCAGGCCCCACCAGGGAAAGCACATATTCCACATTAAGCCCTCTTTTTCCCTTTAAAAAAAATGTAAATCACTTACACTTAGAATTCCGAGTTCATTATCTCATGTTCAAATTAAAATATAAAAAACTAAAAGCATGGACTGCATTGTGTCTAATTACACTATGGTTTCTGGGGGAGTTACTGTCCTAAGTTTGAGAAACCGGCTCGAGATGCACTTTTTGTTATATTCCATGGAATACTCTTACATCCCGATAGCAATGAATATCTTAAGTGCTTTGACAAAAAATCCATTAAAAAATGTCATCTGTGGAAGCCGTGGCACTGTAAAAAGCACGACCAATCATTTTAGCCGTGGTGCTGCTAAAATAACTGGATGGCCTACCTGCCTGTCAGCCTTCCATCTGTGCACAAACTTATCTCGTGTCCTCATTGGTCCTGTGCGCGTTCGTGTGTGTTGGAGGAGGGGCTCTGTAAGGAAGTGGCAGATTTTTTCCGGCTGTGTATTTTCAAATTCTAGCGCACTCGAGCTGGTTTCTCCAAAATTGCCTATCCCACCTTTAAGTCATGGCTTGATTTAGGCCCAGTGTCAAAAATAGAAAGATGTATAATGTATCAAATATAAATGTTATACAATGGTGAATTTAAAAAGAAAATAGGTTAAACTTAGTTTTTTAAAACATATGAAAATTAGTGCAAACATGCCCCAAATGTGTTGGTTTCAGATTCATGGCATGATCAATTAAATGCTGGTGGTCACTACTAGTATTTGACAAATCAATTTTTAAACATGGGTCAAAGAAGATTGGACTGATCAATTAAGTATGAAAATACTTCAAGTTGAATTTATAAAAGTTTATACTCGACTCAACTCAAAATGGTCACCATTTGCATCTGTTTGTTCAAGTATTTGTTCAACTATGCCTTTTTCTAAAGTTGTTTAGTTTGTTGGCTATCTTTCCAACAAACTGTCTTATTAAATAAAAGGCATTTGTTTCTAGTCACCGTTATCTGTGAACTCACATTGAGGCAATAATATTAATTTAGAATTTGACAATTGAATTTTCACCTGAGATACTTGGTATTTATGGTTAAGAAATTCAATGTAACGTGCTGTTTACTATTCAATGATGTTTGAAGGATCTCGTACAAGATTAAGTCAATGATCAATTAAAACAGTTGATGGGGCCATTGTGTGTATTGAGTGATTAGAAAGTCTCACTTTA